GGCATCATTGCATTGACGCAGTGTGCGCGCGCGCGCGCGTGCGCAGAGTAGCGCGCGGGAGAGCAGCGGTGCGCACGGTGTGTTGGCTGCGGGGGTCTCGTCTTCTGCTGCGCGTCCTTGAGGAAGTCGACGATGAATTCCTGATTCTCCTTGATAAAGTCGTCCGCCAGCCCGTTGTTGCTCAGCTCCTGGCCGTAGTTCTCCCGCCAATGGGGATCAAAGGCCTCGAGGATGGCGAATTCGGAGGACCGCTGGCCATTGGCATGTCCGCGCGAGGGAAGGGTAGAATGTGAAGGCGCGAGGGGCGCGGGCGGCGGCAGGTGGTTGCGAGGCGACTCGGGCGGTGTTGGGGCGGCAGCGTGTCGGTGGCTGCCGAAGAGGCCCAGGATGCCGTGGCGATGGGAGCTCTGCTGAGCGGAACCGCCGAAAGGGGTTGAGCGGGTGGCCCTGCTGGCATTCTTTTCCCTGTCGTCCATCTTCTTCTTGAACTGTTTGGCCTCCTTCTCGTCGACGAAGGAGAGGCCGGCGAGACAGTCTTCGGTTTCAAAGGTGTGAAAGTAGGTTCGGTCCTGGTTGTAGATCCACGTGTCGAAGATCTCCTGGTCCCAAATGACACCTCGGCTGGCAGGCTGGAAGAGAAAAAGAAGGAACGTGGTCAGCGGGCGCATCTCAAGATTGGGAAAGAGCTTCACGCACAGAAACATCGACCAGCTTCAGCCAGTACGTGTTGCCGACGAGGTCATTGGACAGCACAATGGCACCCTGGAGGCCTGTGTTGTTCCATCTCGTGCTGTCCGGGTAGGCGACGTAGAGGCGGGCGACGGCGACGGCCTGGATCTTGTTGGTCTGCTTGGGGACATGGCGTTTGACTGTGTCCTTGTCGTCGTCGTTGAGGATGGACGGCATGTTGGGTGGGTTGGCCCGATAAGGCGGAACTCGATCGCAGCGATTCGGGGGATCGACCGCAGCGGTTCGGGGGATCGAACCGCAGCGATTCGAGGGGGGATTGGGCGAGATTGGGTTGACTTTGTGATGGCGGACCGCTCAGAGGGGGGGTGGGACGGCCAACGTTGTCGTCATGGGAGGTTTGTGGGCGAGGGGTGGTGGTCGTGTGCGGTTTGCGTCGTACGTACGCAAGAGAGGAGCGACGACGCAGTGGAAGGGCGCTTGCGTTTGTGGTGATTTTCGGTGGGTGGGTGGCGGCTGCTTTGCTTCTCCTCACGCGCGGCTGCAGTGCAGTGCCTCGAGTTTCCTTGGTCCAAGGTGCCCTACCAAGCCTACCTACGATCTGGCGCGCTGGGGGTGGGTGCTGAAGAGGTAGCAAATTGGAAGGCAAAGGAGGAGAGGGCGAGAGGATGAGGTAAGGCAAGGCGACGAGGTTGAGGTGCGTGAGGGTGAGGTACCAAGACCCAAGGTAACGGAAGGTGGTGGTGTTCGAACGGAGCCGATTCGTTGAGCCCAGCCCTGCCAATAGTCTACTTGTCGGGTACCAGCTCGCCAAGGGACGAGCCAAAGAAGAGGCCGCCTGGCGGTACCTCAGGCCTTTGTCGCCGCCGGGTTCCCGAGACGGCCGTTGTCCGTTGTCCGTTGGAGAAGGGGGGCGGGGGGGTGAGGCCGAGCGTTCAGGTCGCAGTGCTCGGAGGGTTTCGTTTCGTTGACTCTTTTGGCCTCTGAATATTCTTTTGTGCGTTTTCGATGCGAGCAGACAATGAACGGCCAACGAAGGGCAACGAGAGATGAGGTTTGACCAAATGGGAACCAGAACGACGTCTCGCGCGCGGTGGGTCGGGAACCCCGAATGATGGCGAATCATATGGAAGGACAGGTTCTTTCTGTCAGTGGCTACTTACCTACCTACCTAAGCTACCTGGAGAGCCTGTGAATGCGTGCCTCTGGCTTTTTGCTACTGGGACGGCGCTCCCGGGCCCCCTCCCCCCCCCCCCCCCGGCATCTTGGGCACGCACAGCGCAAGAGCAGGGCGCAGATAGGCAGCTGTCGGTGGGTTCATTCTAGCCACATTCCGCAGCGAACATGGGCCGTCAGCCACCCTTCTAGAAAACGGAGCCGCTGTCTAGTCTGTCTCCTGTCACTGTCCGACGTACGCTCTCCACCGCCTGCTACTTGCCCTGCTGGCTGCTGGCTGCTGGCTGCTGCCTGTTGCCAGTGTCGTAGGTACCTTAGGCACCTCGAGACTCGGATTCGTCATCGTGCGTCGCCCGGGCTCGGCTTCGTCTTCGCATCCACCAGCGTAGGTACCTGTCGGTACGGTACCTACCAAGGTATGGCACGCATCACAGACCAGTGCAAGGATCCCATCACCCATCCTCGTAAACGTGATTATTATTCGCCTGTATCCTATCCTGCCCGCCGCGCGAATCCCATATCATACAGTCATTACACAAAGAAGCCCCCCCCCCCCCTCCATGCGACATGCCCAAAAAAAAATCGCATCCGAGGACGGCATTTACTTGTTCAGCTCGGCGGCCTTGGCGCGGCGCTCCTCCTTGGTGCCCTCCTCCTGGGCGCTAAAGTCCTTGGGCACCGCGGGGCCGGGCGCCGCCTGGTGGGCGGCCGTCTTGGGGTCGAAGCTGCTGGCGCCCTCCTTCTTGTCGTCGATGGGCTGCGTGCTGAACTGCTTCTCTTGCTCCTGCGTACGTGTGCGGGTCAGCGGGTGGGCGGGGCTATATGGGAAGCGAAGGGGGAAGGGGTTCAGGGAGAGAGGAAGAGAGAGGCCACGGGGTGGAGGGGGAAGGGCAACTCACGTCCTTGCTCGTGTTGTTGATGATGTTCTTGATCTTCTCCATTTTGTCGGTCTTGACGGTATTGACGAGTGTGTGTGTGTGTGTGTGTGGATGGATGGTAACTTGGTGTGAGGTTGGACTGGATGCTCTTCTGAGTTGGGAGTCCCAAATGGCAGGAGAGTGACGCGTTTTAAGTACCTACGGCTCAGAAGGCACATGGCACAAGGTCGCTGGCCAGAGCCCGAGGTGACAACACGAGGCAGGTGGCTTGTCGCGGCTCCTCGAGGCTTGAAGCCGCTGATGACGTCGTTTGTCAGAGGGTCAGACACGACTAGCTCGGCCACAAGTCAGGCTGTACCGGCCGGCGGCTGCGTAACGACCTACATGGAAGCACTGAGAGTGCAGAGTGAGTGAGACGCGGGGCCCCCCTCCTTTCTGTCTACCTACGTCTTCTTCTTCCTCTTCCACCCCACCTCCCTCCCTCCCGTAGCACAATGACATGGCTCTTTATGCCCTCTGTTGGCACCGTGTCCAAGGATGAGCCCTTCCCTTCTCTCCGGCCATCGTCCTCTCGCATCTGATGGGATTCTCTCGCATCCGATAGGATACCCCCGTCTCGCACCCGCCCGCCTTGGCCACGCCACGCCATGTCATGGTCCCTAGCGCGCCATCCGTTTTGCCCATCTTGGTACACCTCGTGCTGGCCATCGCTGAATCCACTGATCTGCCAAACCTCCCACGCCATGTTACGTCAGGGCGCGAGGGGTAAGTTTGGAGGGAGGGGGAGGGCAGGGGTCCCTCTTCTCACTCTCAGAGTCAACAACACCATCGTCGACAACACTTGACCATGTTCATCACACATCACGATCCCTAGTCGTAACGACGTCCCATGGCCCCCTACGCCCATGTTTGCATGTTGAGTTCTCCGGCTTCGGTGCCGGCTGTGGGCGGCCCCCTCGTCGCATCCTTGCCTCTTTCCCAACTCGGCCTCAGACACCACACACATCTACTTGTACATCCTTGACCCCAACCTTGGGCAGTCACGGCGTCTCTCCATAGACTGGAGCTTTTCGCCGTCTGGGTCCGAAAAATTGCTTACCCTCCGCCCCTAAGTGACGCCGTTTCCTATGCAAATGCAGATGCTGAAAAACTCGCAAACCAGTCAACAAACCACCCAACGACACGCGCCCCTACTCTCGTCTCGGCGGTCTCCTCTCAATGAACATGCCGTTGCCCTTGGGCTTCTTTTTCCGCGGCGGGCCCTGTCCCGGGTTCTGTCCCTGACTCTGCTGTGCAACACGTTAGAACAATGAAACAAAACCATGTGCAAATCGCCTTCTCAAGTCTCACCCTCTGCTGGATCTGGTTCACTCGGTTCAGACCCGTCGTCGGCGCGGACGGCCCAGATGTCGCTCCACTCGAAGCCGTCGGAACAGCAGGAGGCCGTTCGGGAGCCACGAGACCCAGTGCTGCCATCGCTGATGGATCCACCGTCGTCTTCGGCTTCGTTTCGCGACCTTCCCAGTGCTCCCCGCGCGGGTTCCTGTGCGCCTTGGGCCCCGTCGGCGCCGCTCTCGTGTCGCCGTGCCGGTGGTGCGCCCCATCGTTGCTGCTGCTCGCCATCTGCCATGCTGTCGTTAGATCCTCTCGTGCTGCGTCTCGTTTGTCTCTTTGGTAAACGTACCCTCTTGGCGTTGGGATGGCCGAGCCCATCTCCATCTCTCGGCCGCTTCTTTGAGTCGGGCGCCGACGTCTGAATCTGTGGAGCGCCCCCCGGCCGTGGAGGAGCCGATGTCTGAATCTGTGGAGGGGCATCAGGGCGCGCCGCCCTGGCCTGAGCGTCGCCTCGCCCGTGGCTGTGATCTGTCTGGGCTCTTGGGCCCGTCGGTGGCGGACCATCTCTGGAAGGCACTTCGCGATACTCCGCGTTCGGCAGCGCCGGGCCGCAACGTGTGGCTGGGCTTCTGGAGCATCGATAGGACATCGCCCTGCGTGTAGAGGTTGCGTTGCTTTGCATTGTCGATGAGCTTGGCCCAGAACTCGCCCTGCATCAGTGC